CACCCTCCTAACTCTGTGCTTCCACAGAGCCTTTTCTCCGGGGCCTCAGTGCATACCGCCCGCCCCACAGTCCTCCTTCGTGCCAGGCTCTTGGAAACCAGTGGACGCTTGGTTGGGGCACATGCTGATTCAGACAACTGGCTAATGCTTCTTAGCTTCCATGGCATGAATGTCCATTCGCGTGCAGATCCTAGGACTCTGTCTCTGGGAGATAAAATTCTAAGACAGGCACCTCCTAGAGCCAGATCCCAGCATCATCAAAACGACTCCATCTGGGGTGGGATGATTATGCCCAGAGAAATCCTATCAGAGGGGTAGACTAGCAGCTTATATCTGGAAAGAACAGGGCTCTCTTCCACATTTCATGGGCTCAGCTGACTTCATCTGCCCCAGGGTATAGGCTTAGTGCTTGAGAGTCTCTGGTGTTCCCTCACTGAAATGTGTAGGTGGCACATGGGTAACAAGTGCCCCCCCCCCGCCATGTCTCTAAGACCTGAAAACAGAAATGCCCTTGCCATAGTTATGTCTTTCTGCCTCTTTTAGGGCTAGTGTAACCAACTCCCATCACAGAGACTGACCCAGTACCACTGAGCAACGGTCCCTGGTCAGTCTGGATTTTAATGTTTTCCATTTTTCTCTCCCCTCAGGGCCCCCGTGCTGCTTGGGCCTTGTACCAGTTGAAGAGGTGGACAGTCCTAACTCCTGCCGAGTGGGTGGAGGAGACTGGTGTTCCCAGCACCCCACAGGGGCCTACATAGGGCAGGAACTTGGGATGCGGCTCTCCCCCAGCTCACCAGTGCACGTAGCTTTTGAAACACCACCTCCTACAATTTAGGCAGAAACCAATATCCCAGAAAGACTATATATTGTTTTTAAAAAGAGAGAAAATTGGTATTTATTTTTCTATAATAGCCATATTTATATATTTATGCACTTGTAAATAAATGTATATGTGTTTTTATAATTCTGGAGAGACACAGAGAATCCTACCCATTGAGTTATGAGGGGGAAATCAAAGAAGCCCCCGTAACAGGATTCCACCTGGCAAGAGTAACACAGTCTGAGGAGGCAACCCCTCACTGAGCACCTCTGCCACCACCCAGGAGGCCACACAAGGCCCCCAGAGAAGCTGCTGAGAGGATGAATCTTAGGCACACTGTCCATGACCAATGATGAGGGAAAAGCAATGGCCCCCGTATCACAGGCTGGAGACACTTGTGAAGACGACTGGACCGAGTACTACAGGAGACATTTTCAGAAGATGCTCATGAGAATAGACTAAGATGTGTATAGTCCTATAAGTATTAACAAACTTCCAGAATCAATAATCTGTGGCAACCTATCTCTGTAAAAACAAACACTGTAACTTCTAAATAAATGTTTAGTCTTCCTGTAACCTTCAACTTTGTCACATGAGTCAGCATCCTCTTTAGATGTTAGGATTCAGTTTGAGTATTTGAAGAAAATCTCCACTTGTGACATTTCAACTCTGTCAAGAGTCTGAGAGCTGGTAAAGGTAGCAGATGTCTAATTCTTTGTCTTTTTAAGTATTGTGTTAGTAACTGTTTAGCCCGAGAGGGAGACAGTGTGAAGTAGTTAAGCAGATTCGCAGTTCTCTTACTGAATGGACTCGACTCGAGGTAAAGCTTTGGTCACAGAGATATGTGTGGAAGACGAAGTATTTTCTCCAGATTGCCATTTAGTTAAGTGCTAGGCTGCACGTGCATGTGTGGTGCCTGATAAAGCTCACTTTTCTTTCCAAAGATAGACCAACATTGCCAGAGGAGTTGACTCACTAGTCGTCTAAAATCAACATTTACTTACTTCCATACAACCACAGGATCAACCTTTATACCTGCAACTGGCACTAGCTGGAGGTTGAAGCTTTGCACCGAAAGCCCTAACACTCAGCCGTTCTCAGGAGGGAAATTGTGTGCTAGATTTCAGCAAAGGTGAGTTACAGATGCAATGCAGCCTGAGACTCTGAATCTGGTTACGAGTCCTGGGGCCAGACTCACTCCACCCTAGTCACCCGTGGGAGAAACCAGATACTCGGACAAGTGCACCCTCTACTGGCCGGAAGAGATACCGGGCCTGCGCTTACCTTTGTTGCATGCTTTTTCTGTCCGACAGCTAAACTGGGAAAAGCGTTCTCATCGAGATGCAACATGATCTTTAGAAAAGTTGTGTTTAAAAAATACTTTAAGAAATAAAATGAAGGACTGTAAGGAACATGGAAATGATAGAAGAAATAAGATGTAACTTCAGCTACAACCCTGCACTGTGGGCCTAAAAGTCACTTCCAGGAGTGGGACAGGGCCAATACTCTCAATCCTTACTCAGCTAAGCCAGGGTCTCTCCGAGCTGGGCTGTAACTCACCTCCTAGCCCACTGGCTTTAAATTTTATTTTACTTATTTATTTTTTTGCTCCTTGATGATCCCATGTAGTTGTCGAAGTGAATCTTGGTGAACTTTATGGAAGTGATACGTAAAATTGCTTTCTGCACAGCCCCGGAACCATAACAATATTGAATGGTTTTTGCTCTCAAAAAAAAAAAAAAATTCTAGGAGAGAAAAAGCACTTCTAAGGCACATTAAATGAGATAAATATGTGTATTTACCTTAGCCAATAGCAGGAAAAGAGGAAAGGCATCAGGCCTCTAAATTTTAGCCTAGAAAATAAAATGGCTTGGATATTCGATTTCATTGTATTTTCTATTTCTTTAGATTCAGATTATTATAGTGCCTTTTAAAAGTCTGATTCAGCCGGCAAAGGCTATATAATTTACCAATGGAAGAGCAGGACCTAGTGGGCAGGCGCTGGTGGGGTGCAGAGCCCAGCTCAGGCCCACAGCCCCACCCAGGCATGGCAGCCCTCCGTGACAGGACAGCCGGCCTTGGCAACAGTGACTAACTGTGACACAGGGCTTCACTTGACAGCTGCTTTTTCTTCCAGCATTGGGTTTTGAGGGTACTGTGGACAAGGGTTCAAAATAGCCAAGTTACGTTAGCAGTTGACCCAGAGGTAACTCCGTGTGGACAGATTTTGGTCTCACTCTGAGAGGTCAGGCAGCTTTCTCCGAGACACAGCCAGAGGAGAGAACAGTCTGATCAGGGGAGCAGGAGTGAATGGAAAGTTATCCCCCACCAAAGCTGAACCCTGGTGGTCTCCTTCTGTCCAAAGCTGAACTTCCCAAAGACTCTGATACTATACTTAAGTACAGATTTAAGGCTAAGTCTGGAATCACGTGGAAATGAAACTAGAGCTAGCTATAGGTCTTGTTCAAAATAAATTCAAAATAAACAACTGATTATTAACTATATTGTCAAACCTACAGGATGAAGGCCTGACTATTGTGGACATAAGTGGTGATTTTAGTCTAGTTCGATTTGGGGGGGGGGAACAATAATCCTGATTGGTTTTACAGAGTTGAAAAACTCAGGGAGTCTTTGCCACAGCTCTTCCATAGACTCTAAAGTCATTCTTGCTGCAATTAGAATCACAGAATTTCAGAATGGGAAAGAGACTTAGAGCTTATCCAAATCCTTCATTTGTCAGATAATAAAATGAGGCCCAGGAAGATTACGTAACTTCCCCTGGCTCTCACTACCACCTAGGGAATGGGGTCTCCCCGGAGACCAACCTCTTTATCCAGGCAGTTGCTCATTGTGGTAGCCAGCCAGCGAGGATCTGAAGCCTCCTGCCAAACAGCTAAGTGAGTGCGTCTGGAAGTAGCCCTTCCGGCTCCAGCCAAGCCTCACATGGGGTGGCCCCAACACACAGCTTGACCACAACCTTGGGAGAGACTCTGAGCCCAGAGCAGCCCGCTAAGCTACTCCCAGATCCCTGACCCTCAGAACCTGGGGGAGAGAAGTGCCTGTTGCATCAAGCAATGTTCGGGGGTAACTTCATGTAGCAATAAGTAAGTAAAACCCTCAGAGCTAGGACTAGCAATTTTTGTTAGATGCTTGAAGGGCACACATAGTTTAGAGCGTACAGCAGAGGAAGGGACAGTGGGTGCTCTCCAGTAGAGAAGCTACTTCACCAGAGATTTAAGCTAATGAGCACAAACTTTTTGGATCACTTAAATAGGAACATGAAAGAATCTTTGAAAGGAAGCAAGTCCTATCTAATCCCGAGGGAGGACAGATCAGCAGGCTGGTCACACAGGTTAGGAAGACGACACTGCTGGGTCACTTTCTACACTGATGTAATACCGCCTTCCTCACCTTTCCTTCTCCATGACTAACTTCTATTCTGGGACAGCTCCGTGGAGACGCTCATTCATATATATGGACCCATAGAGCTCTGAATCTCAAATGCTACGCTCTGTTACTAACAGGGGTCCAAATATCAGGGAGAGCATTCCTAAACGGTCACAGCCATGAATCCCTATCACCACTTACCCCCAAACGAAAAGGACAATCAAATTAGTTTAAAATGTTATGCACAATCAAAAGTGATGGTTGGAGCCAGTCTTTCAGAGTGATAGAGTGATGTAACCTATCAAGCCTTAGGGATCTACATCAAAAACAGCAAATGACTCGACTAGAACCCGGAAGAAAATGCAGAGGACATGAAAAGCTATGGGGCTACTTAGAATACTGCAAACACCTTCAGAGAAAAGCCACCGTGTTGACCATTTTGCAAAACATACTCCTCTGCTCCATTCAGAGCTGAGGAGTTTGCCAAAGCCAGGGGTGATTCAGGAAGCTGGGTAGTCTCTAGCTTTCGGCCGATCCAAAGCTAACAGCTCTGTCTGCATTTCATGCATCCTGAGCCCTCAAATAACTGCTCTGTGGAGTTAACAATGTCAGAATTCTGATTTGCATCTCATTGTAAGATACTGTTGGCAGAATAGCTTGTGCTTTTGGTTTTTGTTCTCAGGAAACACTGAATATCAGAGTTGATTTTCCAAGGACTGAAACAAGCAAGCTTTCTCACAGATTGCTAGTTATTCCTGCTGATGGCTAAAAATTCAGATAAGCAAGAGACAAATTTCCTAAAACAAGATATATTGCAGATGCTTTCTTGCCATTTTGAGATACATACAGCCTTCTGAGACTCCATATTCAATCCAGTGGGTTCCAAACAGATCTAAAATGGTTCAGTTCAATAGGAAATAGATGTTGGGTGCTAGAGTCCGTTCTAAGATAACCAAATTGGAGAAAAGTTATTAAAACTATATGAGTGGATCTGGTCTTAGACTTTTAAATAAATTCACTTTAAAATAATAGGACTATTGCAGCCGGCAAGGAAACAGAACTTCTGGTAAGTTGTATGTCGGAAATCTTGGACGGAGTTGAGAGAAAAAAGCAAACTTAAAGGCCGATGGGCTTCATCTCCTTCTCTTGTGGAGGCTGAATGGGGGGAAGGATAAGACCGCCTTTCTTACGCAAGAGAGCAATCTCTTCCTTTAAGGCCACAATCCTTTCTGCCTGGAGTCGGATCAATTCAATGACCTTCTCTCTTGCCACAATGTCCGCTTTCCGAGGGCCCTGGAAGGCATTGCCCTGTTAAAAGAAAACACCTCCCTGCTTTAAGCATCACGCGTAATGCGAAAAATTCCCCATTCTTATGTTAGGAGTGCCTATCTTACCGTCAGTTGCTTCTTATTTTAAGGGGCCTTCAATTCTTCCACTGAAATCCCACCATTAGAAATGTGCCCCTCTGGCTAATGAGTAACTCTTAAAATGCAAATCCCACTAAGCTAGCTATCCTTCATTCCTACTGTAGAAGGGCTCAGCCCTGGAACCATAAAAGACGGGGTGCCCCCTTTTTCTATACAGCCCATATTTTGTTTCCCAAAAAGGAAATCTCTATTTGCTCATCCGATTCCTTCTCTTGTCCAGCCAACTCCTGCTTATGCTCCAGACATCACTTTTAGGGAGTCCTTTGTCCTGTGGACCAGATTAGGATTTCCTGTTCTGTGTTCTTTCAGAACATCCATCATAAATCATTGTGATTATGAGACTAAACCATTAAAATTTATATCTGAGACTCCTTTTTTAGGTTGAAAAAGTGGCAGTTTCATATGGTTCAACCTAAATGCCTGTTTGAGTTCTTGTAAGAGCCTGTGCCTTTAAGAGCTAGATGGACCTCACCACTCTACCCAGCACCTGTCCTGGAGCGTGTTACATAAGGACATGCTCAAAAAGCTTTGAATGCATGTTAAAGGGAAGAAGACGCTTATGTAGTATATCCATTCTGTGCTTAGAGCGGAGGCAGCCATCATGTGACCTCGAAGGAAACTCCAAAGCATCACTGAGAGAATCAGAGAGCTAATGGCCCTGGCATCACAGGCCCACTAAGCCAAAAACCCTCAGTCATCACCTCCAGACTTCTTGTTAGTGAGGAAAATGACCCTATTTAAGCTACTCTCCACAGGGCTTTTGGCTACTTGTAGCTAAACCCATGTCTCAGCTCATGGCATCACTCCAGCTGGTCACTTTGAAGTCACCTTAACTTTCCCTCATTTTCCTCACCATATCCAGTCAAAGTTTGGCTATTCTTTGAAATGTCTGATCCTTTTTTGTTCTTGCCATCTATGCCTAGACTGTTGGAAGAATAATAGCAATGGACTCAGCCTAGGAGGTGGACAGACCTTGGTTTAAAAACTAAGCACTATTCATTAGCTCCGAGGCAGTTACTTAACTACTCTGAGCTTTGGAAAGTAGTATTTTGAGACTAGTAGTATGAGACATTCCACGTAAAGAGACTATACATGAAAATCTATTACTTTAACACCAAAAAAATTATCTATGTGAAGATATGTATGTAAGGATCTGCTATGGAAAGAGACATATACTATTTCCTTTCCCATTTAACTGATCTTCTACTCAAACACTTCGGACTCTTTTCTCCAATATATCTGGACTTATCAAAGCACAAAAGCCAACAAGTGTGTATGACTGCTTATTCTATGAAGATCGTGTTTAGGCATTAACCTTCTGGAACACTGTCCTGATTCTTAACTCGAAAATTCTTCAGTGGATAAAGGGCCCTCAATACTCAGATTTCTAGTATCCTCTCATACCGAATTTCCAATAATAAACCTCCCAAATCCTCTTATTCATTCTTTTTTCTAGACTTGTGCTTAGACAGGTAGTTCTTAAACTCTAGCCTGCATCAGAATCATCTGGAAGGCTTGTTAATGTAGCTGGCTGGGCCCCTCCCCCAGAGCTGCTGATTCAGTAGATCTGTGGGTGGGGCCCGAGAATTTGCATTTCTAATAAATTCCCCAGGTGATGCTGATGCTGTTTTTCAGGGGACCACACTTTGTGAACCCCTGGCTTAGACCATTTCCAGGATGCTTAAAGAAAACCAAGGGAAACAATGGGTGTTTTTGCAGATACTTCTCTAAGAATATGACATATATTTTAAAGCGTGTCGCATATGTGTTAGGTTCCTAAAGGACACCTCACCTAGGTGAACCTTGAATCAGGTGAACCTGCATTAAATAAGTTATCCACCATATACTATGTATTAAGTATTATGTCAGGATCAATAAATATTATATAAGAAAAAGTTGAAAGCCATAAAAAGTAACAAGTGTTTTAATAAAGTAATATGAGATCCCACAATTAAAGATACCCACTTTAAATCAAATGAAATAAACAAATATTGGAAATGGGTATTTGTTACCAAATTTAGGGATTATTTTGGTGCCATTTGTACCTAACTAACCTTACCTCTCCAGGGCTAAGGCAAACCCCATAGATTAGTACATATGTAAACTCATGGCACCCAAAAGGCGTACAGTAAAACTAGTCCCTCAGGCTCACCTATAAAGTAGGTACTAGCAACTTCATGTCCTCAGGGACCCAGGTGGACTGGAAGTGGCACAAGATCAAGGTTTGTTTAAATGCCAGTACTTGATATTCCTGTGAAGAGCTACCTTCACAGAGCTTCCCCAACTCTGATAAAAGGTCTGAAGAAAAGCAACATACCTGCTGGTTCTGTAGTGTATTCAACTGAGAATCAAGTTTCTTCTTTTCAATACATAAATCATTCATCTGATGAAGCTTTTGAGTGTGTTCCTTTGTCTTCATCATCAACTCCCATCGTACCTGAGCAATCTTTTCCTGCCAGGACAGGAAGATACAAAATGGGTTAATAAGAGAGGAAACAGAAAAATACATGTCCAGATTTGATCAAAACCATTCAGCAAATATGCATATGAAAAAACATAATCGAAAATCACTATGAAAATGCAACCAGAGCCAACTGTACTGGCTCTGGTTCAATTAGAGAAAAGAAGAATGTAGGTGTGCTCAAAGATACAAGGAGGTAAAAAAGATAGGCATAGGTATCACTTCATGGTTGAAGAATGAAATCAGTATGCAAACTGAGTGCTGCTATTCATTACTTAAAAGGAAGAATACTAATTTAAGCAGCAAACTTTCATATATTGTTCTTTCCCCAGGCTTGGCCCAAGATCCTCAAGTAGCCAGCTTGAATGGCCATACATCTCCTGGTGGCTTTCCTTTGTTCTCTTACTGCTCCAAAAATTATTTTAGACTGCACATATTATCTCCAGCATTCCCCTCCCTGAAAATCTTGGATAAGCAAAGATGAGACAAGATGACACTAGGAACCTCTTCTCCTGCCCTGTCTACTGATAAGACAGGAAACTGGAGAAGTCATAACGACTTGGGGGCTTATAAAATCTTTATACAAGCTCCTATCTTTGAATCTGGCTACAATTGGGACACTGCCTCATCTAATAGCTCAGGGAACAGTGTAGGCATTAACATCTTCTAAGACCCTACCAGCGAAATAGTCCATACCTGGTTATAGAATTTATTATTTAGAGATGTTTTCTAATTTCCAGATATGAACAGCCTGTAAAAGCTACAGGGAGCACTACCGCTGCGATCCTCAGAGCACGGCGGTTCCACCTCTAACACGGTCAAAGCATTTATTTATACGTTATTGTAGACCTCAGAGGGGAATCCTGGTCATAGTCCATGCCATTTTGTTATATTTTCATGTACCCAGGACCCCAAAACCTAGTGCTGGTGCTTTCACCCCAAGACAGACAAGTCCCTTCAACTAAGTGAATGGTCAGGATGCTGAGACAGGCTTAAGATCATGGGGGAGCTGAGCGGGGCCCACAGACTCGTCTCTGGCTGCTCAGATGCTTCGCAGGAACCACGGACAGTGTTTCTTGCCTTGACCCACGTTCAGCCAAGGCAGGTCACCTGTTGTCTCAGCCATACCTCCCACATCTTCATTTCCTTTGCATTCGTTAGCTCCTTTCGAAGTTTTTTGATCTTTAGTTCTTCAAGCGTTGTGTTCACAGAAAGTGTCTGAAGGGCTTCTAGGTCTATCACACGGCCAAACTTGCTGATCATTAGCTGATGGACCGTTTCTTCCATTTCTAAAGAAAGACATCACTGTCTTAGGTTGTTCCGTGGCCCCCACTGTTATTAAATGAACAATACCAGTAGCAACAACATTCCAAAGAACAGGTGGATGTTCAGAGGATGGTAAAAGATTTTGTGTTACCAGTTGACTTGTCCTCTGTGACTCTTCGGCAGCTCCTTTCCTCACTTAAAATGCCCATTTCTGGTTGTCTTTTCATCCACTTGAAAATCCTGTGTAAAGCAGACTCCGCTTTCCCCCAGATGCTTCCACCCTCTGCTGTGCCCCTCCTCAGACTGTCAAGGGCCCCAACTGGACGAGGGACTCCTTAGATTTTTTTTTTTTTTTAGTTACTGATCTCTACGGCATCTCGTGGTAAGAACAGAGCAGGCACTTAGAGGAAGTTTCCATCATACTCCAAGTAAAAATTAAAGTCTGATTCTCAAACATTCCAGGCTCATTCTCATCTCAGTTCCCACCGACTGGAATGTTCTTCCCCAAATAACCACATGGCTCCCTCTCGCCAGCCCATTTTCTGAAAGCAAGTTGTAAGGCTCATTTCCAATACACTCAGTTCTGAAGGGGTAACCAAGGTCCTCGTGCTCTAACCAGGGAAAACCACACCTTACCAGTATGCCACCTTTCCAGGGAGCAGTTTCTGGCTCCTACAGACCTGAGCACTCTTTCCGGTCCCTTCTTAATTTTTCTTCTTAGCAATGATCTCCATCTAACATGCAATATATCTTACTTTTGTTTACTTTCTTTCCTCAACATGAGAACCCTGGAACTTCTAGGGAAATTTCCATTTGTGGGATCTGAGCCCCCCAAGAAAATGTAATTCTTGTAACAAGACTTTCTCAGGTACCAGACTGTCCCCTAAGTGAAGTCCGAAGGCCCTAAGGTATCAGAAGATGATACAGTTCTGCAATGGTGTGGAAGTTTGTATCTGGTGTCATTGTTAGGGTTTGACTATAAGGATATAACTGGCATGACTGCTGTTGTGCATGACCCGGGAAGGCCTGTTCACTTGTATTCTGTGTGAGTATAGTCCCCATGGACTTGTGTAATGTGGCGGCCATGATAATCAGTGATGCAAAAACGAAATGATGCTTAGATTATTTGCACACATGTGCTAGCCTGTGGCTGCCTGCTTGGCCTCAGTAAGAACCTTGAGACTCCCTCCAGCTAGTGCCCTCTCCCATGACAGCCTCATGTACTAGGACGTGGACTCTGGTCCTTGCCATTCCCCTGGTGGAGCCAGCCTAATGCCCTTCTCCTGATTTGATTAGGCCAACTAGTGTTTACCAGGGACATAAAGCCTTCTGGGATATTTACCACATGCCTTCTCCATGGCCAAGAGCTGTGTTCTCCTTGGAATGAAGTGAACTTATTCCTTCCCACCACCATGTTCTAGACTCTCCTCTTCTTGTTCACTGAGTCTATGGAAGGAGGAAGGCAACCTCAAGCCAACTGTGGTGTTTCTCATCACTGCTAAGCCTTTGTTCTCTGGCTTACAGAAAAGGAACCCACTCCTAGTTCCACCTTCAGAATCAGGAAAACTTTAACCAGACTCACAACTTGCTTTTCAGAAAATGAGGTGGGGGCGGGTGGGGAGAAGAACTGAAAGTTGCTGAGTAAAACTTATACCACATGGAACTATTCCCTTTTATTTCCATTAACACTGAAAATTTGCATAATTCATTTCATCTTCACACATTTTTCCAAAATGAAAGTTTGCCCAAACTGAAACAAGCTTCTTTCCTTGTTTTCATACTAGTTTATTCCTTGGTTTGATGAATAGTACTTTCAAATATAAACAACATTCATGGCCTACTGAAGCCAGAGGAATGTGAAGTACATGAGAAGCACTGGGACCTCAAGGCTTACACCTGACAAAACTGTGTGTCTCAAATCAGTGTTATTTAAACATGCAGTCCTAGTATGTATTTTTTATTTTATAATCCAGCTGCTCATGAAGGCAGAACCAGCTGCCCATGAAGGCAGAACCATCAACACTCACTGGAAACAGGTCTCTACAAATCCAAGCAACTTGGATTGGTTGACTAGTTGACTACTATAGGCTTCCCATTTTTTTTTCTTTTTCAAATTAATATATATATATATATATATATTCAATTGTAAAATACATAACATAAAATGTATCATTTTAAACATTTTTAATTGTACAGTTCTGTGGCATTAAAATAGATACTAAGATATTAGCAATATTGTTGTTTTTATTTTTAAGATTTTATTTGTTTATTTGACAGAGACACAGTGAGAGAGGGAACACAAGCAGGGGGAGTGGGAGAGGGAGAAGCAGGCTTCCCGCCGAGCAGGAGCCTGATGTCCACATCATGACCTGAGCCGAAGGGAGACGCTGAATGACTGAACCACCCAGGTGCCCCAATATTGTTGTTTTTAAAGTTGGAAACTTCACAACTTACACTTCTGTTCCATATATCAAATATTTGAAATGTATTTTAAAGGATAATAATCTTTATACTGTGCATCTTATAATATCCACAACTCCAGATAGATTAAAAATGCAAATATGAAGAACACTACTAATAGAGGACACTATGGACAAAATATCTTTATGATCTCAAAACAGGAAAGGATTTCTTAAGCAAGATATATACACAGACACAATGCACAAACCACAAATATTGATAAAATTAACTATATTAAGATTTTAAATGTCTATATCCCAAAAGGATACACTAAACAAAGTAAAAAGGCAAGTCACAAGAAGAAATTTGAAGTGCCTTAAAAGACAGAATATAGAAAGAACTCCCTAAATCAGTAAGAAAACAAGTAGAAGTAAAAAACTGGTAAGGTTTATAACAGGCAAGTTACAGAAAAGGAAACACAAATAAATGGCAAATAACTAATGTACGTGAAGATATTTAACCTCACCAGAACCCAGGAATCATGAATAAAAACCACAGTGAAATACAATTTAACATCCACCAGGCTGGCAAATATATTAAAGTCTGACAGCATCAAATGCTCCTGAGAATATGGAGCCTGAGCCGTTCTCACTGCCAGGGAAGTGGCAGGCCGGGGTGGGGGGGTGGGGGGGGAGGGTTGGAGATAAAATGATACAACCACATTGGAGAGCAGCTTGGCAATATACAGGAGTGCCTGCCGGAAATGCGTAACACCCCTCTACAACCCAGACACCCCAGTCCTGGGGATTCACTTTCTCCCGTGCACAAGGAGATGTGTACAAGATTTACTATAGCTCTGTCTTCATGAAAAATTAGAAATACCTGAAATATCCATCAACAGAAGATTGAAGAAAGAAGTTCTTTCAGAGTCCTACAATGGAATATTATCGTAACAGTTAAAGTGAATAAATTACAGCAGTATGGATACCTCTCAAAAATTGGTTTAATGAAGTGAACTGCAAAATGATATGAATAATATTACAGTTAAAAACATGCAAAGTTGTTCCATATGTTGTGTGTGGATACATACATATGCATATGTGCTCACCTGCCAGTTGACCCTGGGGAAGGGCCTAGGGGAACAGTAGCAGAAAGAGGAGGGCCTTCAGTTGTATGGGCAATGTTTTGATTCCTTAAGCTTGGCGGCTAGTTATGTTGCTCTATATTTCATCATGCATAAAACCTTTTAAACTTAAGAGAAACAGTTTCTATGATAAAGGATTTATTCTTTTAAAACAAGAACGTGACCATTCATTCAGTGGTATCAGGAGAGATGGTAGCTAGGAAGACGAGCAAGTGTTTCCTTGCTCTCAGTGGTTCTGATTCTGTGATAACTTACTGTTTTCAAAGCTGGAGGTTGTCACTTAATAGTTCCCTCTCTTATCAAGATAGTACGGGATAACCCGTGGGCTTATTTACTCACTGCTTATAGTTTTTGCCATCTCTCTCTTTTCTCGGATAAGCTGTTTGCGCCTCTCCCGGCAGTCCTTGTTAAGTTTTTGCTGCTTGGAATTTTCTTCATGGAGCTGTATGATTCGTTCTTGGAGCCGTCCCAAGGAATGGTTAGAAAAGACCAAGGTTCCAGAAAGATCATTAGGAATTTCTCCAAATGCTACATACTCTACCTATCAAAACCAAAACAAAACCAAGATCAAACTAAATGTAAGATCATAGAAAGCACTTCCTTTTCTGTCCCTTGTCCCTTGGACTTCTGTCATTCCCACCACTGAGTAAGGTAAAAGAGCTGGAGTTGCCTTCAGATAGTAAGCCACATTATGTCCCTGTAGGGACAGCAAATCTTCCCCCAGACCATGCCTATTATCTGCTGCATAACCATGGAACAAACATGTCACGGTGGGTGTAGTGTAGGCAAATCGCTACATAAAGCCAATCCAATTTGGGTCAGGTTACACAAAATATATGTGAGGCTGATCTAAGTTTTTTCTTCTAAAATACAGCTTTCTCTCTTTACCTGACAAAATAGGGTACAGAATGCATCTCTGCACCTTAATATAAGCTGTAATTCTAATGAGTGTGGAAATGAACCAAGAGGCAAGAAAAAGAAAGGACATTTTACTTTTGTCTTGCCCTCCCTCATTAACAAGCAGAGATTATGATAATTCTTGCATCATTAATTCATGTCTATTTGAAGATGGTGTGAAAAGATGTGCACAAGATCCAAGATTTCAACTTCCAAACCATTCCATTCTTAAGTCATAAGCTCCTTGGGGCACCTGGCTGATTCAGTTGGAAGAGCATGGGACTCTTAACTTCGGGGTCGTGAGTTTGAGCCTCATGTTGGGGTGTAGAGATTACTAAAAATAAATAAACTTACTAAAAAATAAATTAAAAAAATTAAGTCATAGGCTCTTCATTTCTTCAGACCTGAAACAATTCATTGGCCTTTGGAAGTGATAATGGGCCATCGGGAAATACATATGTTTGACTCTTACTCTTTCACAACAATTTGAGAATGTATAAGAAAAGCTGGGGCATCATTATTCAGGTAGAATTCTCAGCAAAGGGTTGCATTTCTTCCCACAAGTGACCCAAGAATCTTTTCTGGGAAAGCCTTGTTGTGGTGGCTCTTCTGCTCAGACAGGGTGGCGCATCGTCTCCAGACTCATCACCTGGTGGAGCTTGAGTGGAATCACGACCAGCAGTTCATTTAGCCGCTGCTGCTTCTCTCGTTGGTAAGCCTCCAGGGCCTCCTCAGCTACATTCAGGTTAGCTGCCACAACTTTCACCTGTGGAGAGCCCCATGTGTGAAATGTGATAAATGGGGACATCTTGGGAGATGAGCAGGACCTACTCTGTTGGGCTATGATTAAATGAATGATCCCAGTTTGCAGCCCAGGGATATGTGCTATTTTTTTCCTGCTAAGTCATGATCCACACTACTTTTTCAATCATTCCTATTCCCCAGTACTAAAGGGCTCATGAATAAGAGTTCAGATGTCCTCATCTCCCTTTTATTTTCTGCATGAAAAGTACCTCTCAGCATGGAATGTCTTTGTCAAGATGGTGGGAATCTCATTGGGCCATCAATGACCTCAAAAAACAAAAGGAAAAAGCCCTTTAAAGCAACAAAACTACTAACTACAGTACTCATAAAGCACGTTCTTCATCTAAAAAACTTGAAAGTTTTCCAAATCATTTTCCATTTGCAAGAGGAGAAGCAATCTATCAAAAATATTCGTGAATATGAACTCTAAATGATACTTTCCAGCCACTGGATGCACTCAGCCGAAGAATTAAATGAAGTCAAAGAAGGACTTCTCGAGAATGATGCCACTATTGATTGTCTACTACTGCTACACCATTTGGGATGTGAAAAATTTCCTCACGTGTGTTGTTTTAACAATTCAGTTAACTCCTGCAAGGTGACCCAATTAATAGGGGGCATTTGTGATCAATTAAATAAGATCAAGATATCCACTTATCTATTTGACAAAATTGGTAATTGGGGATCCTATCTAAGGCATGTGATCATAATTTTGGGCCTAATACTTGTTTCATGTTCATCCTTTTGCATGTGCTGATGCATGTACCGTTTGCTGCCCATCATGACCCCCTGGAGCCATACCACAAGCCCCTGGGCCGACCCCTGGAGAGATTCTAACTGCCCTACAGCCCGCGGCCCCATTTCAGCAGGAGAGCAGCCACAGCGGTCATCGTCCCATTCCCTAAGGGCAGTTAAGGTTACTATTCCAGGGGGAGGAATGAGTAAGGGACAGGCAGGTCTAAGTAGGGAGAGATAGATAGGGGGCTATGTGATCAGGCTCAAAGAAATCCCAAAAACGTGAGGTGTGGGGAACCCAGAGATAAGGGGACAAACTGGACCACCCTGCCCTAGGCGTGGGGGGGTGGGTGTCTTTTTTATGATAATCGCCTGTGACCAACAAAGAATAACCAGACCCTAAAAAGGAAGTAAGCCATTGAAGGTCTTATCACTAGTCCTTGCTCAATGGTGATATCAATAGAGATGTTAGAAGAATTTAAGTTCCCTGATTAGCTTTCTATAAAAGACTAACCCTAAGGACCCTCAGTGGCAACCCTGTCCGGACCCCTCTCACTCTGTTTCTATTTATTTTTATCTTACTTTTTTTCATTTCTGTTTTTGTGAATGTTTCCTAATATACAAAATACATTAGTACAATAGTTCGTGAATATAATTTGTAAATAAATATACATATATTGTATACAAATGTTTTTTACTTATAGAAGTATGTAATAAAAAAGTTTGGAGATCAATGATTTAGATAAAGGAAGGTCAACCTTCAAAAGAACCAACAGCCCCTACCACAACTGTGCTTGAAGAGGAAAAACTTAAAATATAACACTTAAAATGTTTAGGGGCACCTGAGTAGCTCAGTCAGTTAAGTGTCTGCCTTGGGCTCAGGTCATGATCTCAGGGTTCTGGGATCGAGTCCTGTGTCAGGCTCCCTGCCAAGCAGGGAGTTGGCTTCTCCCTCTGTCTGCTGCTACTCCTGCTTGTGCTCTCTGACAAATAAATAAAATCCTTAAAAAAATAAATAAAATGGGGGCACCTGGGTGGCTCAGTCAGTTAGGCGTCTGCCTTTGGCTCAGGTCATGATCCCAGTGTCCTAGGATTGAGCCCCGCATCGGGCTCCCTGCTCAGTGGGAAGCCTGCTTCTCCCTCTCCCACTCCCCCTGCTTGTGTTCCCTCTCTCACTGTCTCTCTCTCTCTCTCTGTCAAAAAAATAAGTAAAATCTTTAAAAAATAAATTAATTAATTAATTAAAATAAAATTAAATAAAATGTTTCTTCTCTGGGGAGAAGGCCTAACTCATGTCATTTCTATGAAACAGCAGTACAGTAGCTGGGAGGATGGCTGGCACGCTGGGAGAGGATAAATAAGTAAGCACACCATCATACTTTTTTGGATAGTGTATCATGTTCCTTTTTGAGGTTATCGATAATTTTCTTTTCTTCAACTAAGGCCTCCTCAATGTCCAGCCTTTTCTCTCGAAGTTGAAGGGCCAATTCAAAAAGACCCACATCACAATCTGAAAAGACAGTCAAAATTAAAAGAAACCCCATTGTCATGGAATGTACCGATATTAGAAGTGTGGACTTTGGAGCTTCAGAATTAATAATGACCATTTGTTGGTCCACTCTAGCACACTTTCACTCCACTTCAGGCTCCACTGTTCCAGGTGGAAATTATTAATAATATAAGTAATCCTGATAGTACTTCTGATACCAGCATTGACGTTCCGAGCAGTACCGTGAGCCAGGCTTTCTGTTTAGGCCTCCTTTTATGTACGTTCTCTCACTCAAGTCTCCTAGGCCCTTGCAAGGTAGAAACTATTGTTCCCACATTATAGGTGAGCACCCAAAGTCTCAGAGAAGTCATGTAGCTGATATGTGACACAAAGGAACTCAGGTACAGTATCCCTGTATTAATTTCCACTATATCACACCACAGTCCACCAAGCAATAGATAAAGAAGGTGAAAATAAGAGTATTACAGTGGAATTTAGAAACTTTAGTTCTAGCCCTAGTTCCACCACCAAACTAGCTGTGGGACTTTTTTCAGGCCATTTAATCCTGCTGTAAACAAGGATTGTTTACAAGGATCCTGCTGTAACAAGTTGCATTATAATCTTTCGAGCTCTATTTCACTCATACATATGATTTTAGGAAGACTCTTGTTTGCAACATTAAAACGGGATTTAAACTTTACTTGAAATTAAGCTTTAAAATTTTATTTAAAATCTATATAAAGTGGCTACAAAAAATAAATTTCATACTAAAAAGAAGTTGTTTTTTCTGTACTGGACTATTCATCTATTGAGACTGTGAGAATATTGGTCTGGCTGCTTCAGACTGGTTTTACCAGTGAAAACAGTGAATATAAATTGCTAAGCATCTCCAGGAAACCGACACAAAGTACCCTTACAAAACGGATTTTAAATATGAAAATTTGAATGGGTTTGTCAAAAAGAGAAAGCTTTGTAAAAAAAAAAAAAAATACATGCATGCGCGTGCGCACATGCACCCACACACTGCGATCTGTTATTTCTGCATAATTTGACTTTGAACCAACTATAAGTTATCTGCAAATTATTTGTCATTCATAAATGACTGCCTAAGGGAAAAGAAAATAAATCATCCAGAGAGCCAAATAAAAGTATTCATTAGACTACTTCATAAAACTTCAACCACGCTCCCCTTAAATTTTATTATAAGACAACCGAGAAACCACAAAAGGATCTCCTTGATATTATCAGTCCATATTCACACTTCACAGAGAACATATGGTTTTCTCCAACTTACTTGTTGGGCAAATAGAATCATCAAAAACTTCATCTTCAGATCCAGACTCATCTTCATCACTCTCTAAGCTAGATTCTTCTTCACTTGATTCATCACTATCTTCATCTTCATCTAAATAGAGAAGAAGGCATTATTAATAAGCAGAGAAGTTCCTGTGTTAAGATAAATCTCAGATTTTAAAAATAAAGGGTTTTTTTCAATGAGTTAGTCACTAGGAAAATAACAGGTAAGGCAGGCAATGAGTCAATATTTTTAGAAGAGTTTAAAATGGTTAAAGAAAATATTACCCAAAGAAATCTACAGATTCAATGCAATCCCTACCAAAACACCAATAGTATTTTTCACAGAACTAGAATGAATAATCCTAAAATTTATATAGACCCACAAGAGACCTTGAATAGCCAAAGCAATCTTAAAAGAACAAAACTGGAGGTATCACAGTCCCAGATTTCAAGATATACTACTAAACTATAATAATCAAAACAGCATGGTGCTGGCACAAAAATAGACACATAGATCAAGAGAACAAAATAGCCCAAAAATAACGCCACCCTTATATGGTTGCTCTATGACAAACGAGGCAAGAATACACAACGGGGAAAACACAGTCTGCTCAACAAGTGGTGCTGGGAAAACTGGACAGCTAGATGCAAAAGAATGAAACTGGGCCACTTTCTTACACCATACATAAAAATGAACTCAAAATGTGAGTTCAACCTAAATGTGAGACCTAAAACCAGAAAACTCCTAGAAGAAAATGTATGTGGTAATTTCTTTGACATCAGCCATAGAAACATCTTTCTAGATATGTATCCTAAGGCAAGAGAAACAAAAGCAAAAATAAACTATTGGAACTACTCCAAAAAAAAAAAAAAAAAGCTTTTGCAGAATGAAGGAAATCATCAGCAAACCAAAAAGTCAACCCAGTGAATGGGAGAAGATATCTGCAAACGATATATCCAATTATTGGTTAACATCCAAAATATATAAGGAACTTACACAACACCAAAAAATCCCACCAATCTGATTAAGAAATGGACAGAGAACCTGAATACATTTCCCCAAAGACGACATACAGATGGTCAACAGATGCATGAAAAGATCCTCAACATCACTCATCATCAGGGAAATGCAAATCAAAACCACAATGAGATATCACTTCACACTTGTCAGAATGGTTAGATTCAAAAAGACAAGAAAAAACAGATGTTGGCAAGGATATGGAGAAAAAGGAACCCTCACACACTGTTGGTGGGAATGTAAATTGGCGCAGCCACTGTAGAAAACAGTATGGTGGTTCCTCAAAAAATTAAAAATAGAATTACCATATGACCCAGCAATTCCACTACTGGGTATTTACCCAAGGAAAATGAAAACAGTAATTCAAAAAGATGTATGAATTCTTATGTTTATTGCCAGCAGTATTTACAATGACCAAGATATGGATTAATACTGTCACAAAAAAGAAATGAGATCCTGCTACTTGCAACAAACTGGGTGGACTTAGAGGGTATAATGCTAAGTGAAATAAGAGAAAGACAAATACCATATGATTTCAACTACACAGGGAATCTAAAAAACAAAACAAATGAACAAACAAACAAACAAAGCAGAAACAGACCATAAATACAGAAAACGGATTGTCACCAGAAGCAAAGGGGGCGGGGGCAGAGGGATGGGCAAAATGGGTGAAGGCACAGGCTTTCCAGTTATAGAATGAATAAGTCATGAGATGAAAGGTACAGCATAGGGAATATAATCAATAGTATTATATTAGTGTTACATACATGAGGACAGATGGTAGCTGCACTTGTGTTGAACATAGTATAACATACAGAGTGGTGGAGTCACTGTGTTGTTCACTTGAAACTAATGTAACATTGTGTGTCAACTATAATTCAATCAAAATATTATTTTAAAATAATAATAAAATTCTACAAAATAAAATAACAAAGTAAAAAGAAAAAAACAAATAAATAAATGGTTGGGGACACAGAGACCAAAACTCAAATGCCTGAAGGTTGTTCAATTAATTTCAATGCACTGAATCAAAGAAAGTTGAGACCAAACTGCCAAGCTGCTTCTGCTGTGACCTGCCTAACACACACGTGGTTTTATAGGTCCACAATTCCTAAATCATAGTACCTTGGGAGGGGGAAAAAAAATTTCCATAACTTATCTGAAGTAATGCTATATATTATCCTTATTTCCTACTTAGTATGAATATTTGTGTCTTGCTGTAGACATATTAAGGTGTTTGATTTAGAGATCCTGCTCTAAGCCCTGCTGGGGGTGTTAGTTGACAAAGACTCTCTCCTTTGACCAAACTTGAGTCAGGCTCCTCTGAGTTCTCTTTCTGACCCATAGTGGACCATGAGCTCAGTTCTTGACCCATTTAGTCCAGTTTAAGCAAGAATCCTGCTAAGTCAGTTTAGTAAAAATCTCACACCCTTGATACCTGATCAGATTCCTCCTTAATCCTTACCCTTACTATCTTTTCACTCTGGCCAATCTTCAGCAAAAATCCTGTTAGGTCAGTCTAGCAAAGAATTATCCTACCTCTTAGTAATTTTCCATTCACTGACTCCCACCCTGCTACTTGGCTATAAATCACTACTTGTCCTTGTTGTATTCAGAGTTGAGCTGATCTCTCTCCCCTATTATAAAATCCCACTGTAGTGGTGCCCCTGAATAAAGTCTGCCTTATTATTCTTTAACAAGTGCCATGAACGGTTTTTTCTTTAACAGTGTCATATACAATATCTTTTATAAAATATAAAAAATACTAAAACTCATCTGCCCCCAAGAGTTTCAGATAAGGGACTGTAGACCTCTCCCATGCAGCTCTACTCCATTTTCTTTTAAAAAATGTTGAAGCCATCCATGAACCATAGATCACTAATTGGCAATTTCTATTTTATGGACGTCAAGTTAGAAATAAGAGATGGACCTCATACTCTTCAGAAGATTTCTTAAATTTAAGATCTCCCTTAAAATTACTTTAAGCGGTCTGTACCACCTTATGAAATAAATCACCAAAGTTTAAAATTAGACTTTAAAATTCCTACATCGATTTCTGCTTTTGGGAAGACAAAGTAGATCTATTTTTTTTCTTATGTAGAACAAACATAAGATTCTGAAAAATGGAAAGAAAGCAGACTAAATATGAAACTCAGAAGCTGAGGAACAACTGTGGTGAGTTTTTTGGGTCTTCTTTTTGCCTCTTAGATCTCAGACTTAGAAATGAGTAAGTCACCAACCTGGAAACACCAATAGATACAGACATAAAAGGGCCCAACCAGAGCCTACTTTCTCTAGCCAAATGGCCAAGAAAGAGGTGGCCCAACAAGTCAAAACTTTTAGACAATATCCTAACCAAACACCACAGGAAAAAACTGTGGTCCCACTCCCACCCCTATCAGCGAAGGCCAAGTGGGGAACCTAGACATCCACCCTTGCAAAGGCACCCAACATTCTCATCACCTAGGATAGTGTCAGAGAAAGCCAAGCAGGGAACCAGGACATTTTTTCCTGCTGGCTGGTGACCAGCCTTGCCCCCAAACCCCACCAAGATGTCTGTGGAGACCACGTGGGTAGCCTGGATTTCTTTCACCTGGCAATAACAAGACTCACTCCCTCCTCCCATAGAGGTCATGTCAGAAGAACCCTAATAGAAAAAAAGAAGAAGAAGAACCTGGAAAGTCAGGATTTTCACCACTGCCCAGAGGTACCAAGGCCATCCCCACTATGTTGTCAGTAGAGACTACATGGGGAACCAGAACTCCAGAACAAGGAGATCCTCCTTCCTTGGAGTCACAGTGAAGGCTGAGTATGGCAATAAGGAGTAGGCACCAACCCTTTCTCTGGAAGAGCAGTGTTAGAAAAAGCCAAGAAAAACAGAAGACTTAAATAAGATACAGAATCTTATAACATAATATGGAAGTTTCCAGGTTTCAACTGAAAGTCACTCTTTGTAGCAAGAACCAGGAAGATCTCCAACTGAATGAGAAAAGACAATGAATAAATGTCAACATTAGGATGGCAGAAATGTTAAAACTATCTGACAAAGTATTTAAAATAGCCATGATAAAAACGCTTCAATAACCAATTATAACACACTTTAAGCAAATGAAAAATACAAAGCCTGGTCAAAGAAATAAAAAGTATCAGAAAGAAAAAGATACAAAGAAGAACTAAATGGAAATGTTAGAACTGAAAAATACAATAACTAGAAGAGAAACTCAGGAGATGGGCTCAACAGCAAAATGAAGGGAACAGAGGAAAGCATCTGTAAACATGAGGACAAAACAATAGAATCATCCAGTTTGAAAAACAGAAAGAAAACTGAAAAACAAACCTCACACCTCAGAGCCTCAGGGACCTATGGGACTATAATGAAAGGTCAAACATTCATGGCATGAGTCCCAAAAGGAGTGAAGAAAAAGGAGGTTCTTAAAAGCACTTGAAGAAATAATGACTGAAAACTTCTCAAATTTGGCAAAAGACGTAAGCTGACAGATTAAAGGAGTGAACCTTCATCAGTCTGAACCCAAAGAATCTACTCCAAGACACATCATAGTCAAGTGTCTGGAAACTAAAGACAAAAGGTCTTAAAGGCAGTGAGAGAAGTGAGACTTCACCTTTGGGAGATGAACAATTTGAGTATCAGAGGATTTCTCATCAGAAACCATGGAGGCTGGAAGAAAGTAGCACAATATTTTTTAAATGCTGAAAGGAAAAAAAAGTCAACCTAGAATCCTATACCCAGTGAAAATATCTTTCTGAAATGGAGAGGAAATTAAGACATTTTCAGTTTGCCACTAGTATACCTACCCTAAAAGAATGCATAAGGGAAATTCTTTAAACAGAAGGGAAATAATTTTTTTAAGAAGGAATTTTGGAACATCATCAAGGAAAAATTAACACGGTAAGCAAAAATATAGGTAAATAGAATAGGCTTCCTTCCTCCCTTTGAGTGTTTAAATTATGTTTGGTAGTTGATGCAAAAATTATAACATTGTCTGATGTGGTTCTAGATGTATGTAGATGAACTGTTCAAGACAATTATATTATAAATGGAGGAAATAAAGGGATGTAAAGGGCAGATGAGGATTCTATACTTGACTTAAACTGGTAAAATGACAACACTGGTGGTCTGGGATAAATTATGTATATATAATGTAATTTATAAAGCAACCACTAAAAAAGTTACACAAAGAGATACACTCAAAAGACTAGAGAAAATTAAAATGGAATTCTAAAAAATGTTCAAGTAACCCAGAGGAAGGTAGGAAAATGTAGAAGATGGAAAGCAGAGAGAATAAAAAATAAATAAATGGCAGACTGAAGCCCTAATATATTAAATCTAAATGGTTTAAGCACACCAATTAAAAGACAAAGAGTAGATAAGAAACATTAACCATGTGCTGTCTACTAGAAATTCACATCTAATATAATAACATAGTCAAATTGAAAGTAAAAGGAGTGAAAAGATATATCATGCAAACATTAATCAGAGCCAAATAGGAGTGACTATATTAACATCAGATAAAGTAGACTTTATCTGAGCAAAGAAAAATACTCTAGACAGAGAAAGACCTTATATAATGATAAAAGTGTCCATCTATCAAGAAGACATAGTAATCCTGAGTGTGTATGCATAAAATGGGGCTGCAAATATGGAAGCAAAACTGATAGAAGTGAAAGGAGAAATTGGACCCAAACAAAACACTTCTATATGATCCATGGGGCCTAAAGGAAAGATCGATGTAAATTTTAAAACTGCAGTGATGTGAATGAAAATGGAAATGCAACTTACCAAAATTTGTAGAATCCAGCTAAAGCAGTGTTAAGAGGGAAATTACAGCACTAAATTAGAAGAGGAAAAGTCTCAAATCAATAATTCACACTCACCTCAAAACCTAAAAACAGAAGTGCAGAATAAATCCAAAGCCAGCAGAAGAAGGTAATAATAAAGATAAGTGCAGAAATCAATAAAATTGAAAGTAGAAAAATTATCTTTAAAAAATCACCTATCCGAAGTTATCCAAATTTATCCCGTTTGTTTGCAAAAAGATCAAATTGACAAACCTCTAGCAAGTCTAAAAATAAAGGGGGGGGGATAACAAGAAAGTTACCAATATCAAGAATGCAACAGGTGATATTACTACAGACCTTGCAGATATTAAAAAGATAATAGAGAATACAATGAATACCCCCCCACACATAAATTTGGCAACTCAGATGAAATAGACCAATTTCACACACACATAAATATAAATTACCACTAGTCACCCAATATGAAGTAGATAATCTGAATAGTTATATAGCTATATTAAAAACCTTTGAGGGGCACCTGAGTGGCTCAGACAGTTAAGTGTCTGCCTTTGGCTCAGGTCATGATCCCAGGGTCCTGGGATCGACGCCCACATTGGGCTCCCTGCTCAGCGAGGAGTCTGCTTCTCCCTCTCCCTAGGCCTGCTGCTTCCCCTGCTTGTACACTCTCTCTCTCTGTCAAAAATAAATAAAATCTTGGGGCGCCTGGGTGCCTCAGTCGTTAAGTGGCTGCCTTCGGCCCAGGTCATGATCCCGGGGTCCTGGGATCGAGTTCCACATCGGGATCCCCGAGGCCTGCTTCTCCCTCTCCCACTCCCCCTGCTTGTGTTCCTGCTCTCGCTCTCGCTGTCTCTGTCTCTGTCTCTGTCAAATAAATAAATAAAATCTTTAAATAAATAAATAAAATCTTAAAAAAAAAAAAAAACTTTTGAGTTTGTAATTTTAAAACTCCCCTGAAGAAATCTACAGGTCCAAATAGTTTCACTGGAGAACACTACCAAATTTAAAGAATTACTACCACATACATTATCTTCCAGAAAATCAAAGAGAAGTCTTCCTAACTCATATTGTGAAGCTAGTATTATCCTGATACTAAAACCAGACAAAGATAGTACAAAAAAGAGAAAAAAGCAAGCTAAAGACCAATGATCCTCATGAATATATGGACACAATTTTTTTTTTTTTTTAGTAAGTTCTACACCCAACATGGGGCTTGAACTCACAACCCCAAGAGCAAGAGTTGCATGCTCTATTGACCGAACCAGCCAGGCAACTCTAGGCACAAAATTTCTTAATAAAATATTTGAAAATAGAATTCAACAATATGTAAAAAGAACTATAAACCATGGGGGGTGGTATTTCAAAGGTGTAAGTCTGATTCAATAATCAGTAATCAGCCAATGTAACACATCATATTAATAAGCTAAAGAAAAAATCACATAATCATCAATCAATGCAGAAAACCATCTGACAAAATTCAACACCCATTCATGATAAAAACTTTAAAACTAGGAACAGAGGGGAACTTCCTCAACTTGATAGAGTATCCACAAAATACCTACAGGTAGCATGCTTAATGGTGAACCATTAAATGATTTCTGCCTAAGATTGTGAATAAGGCAACGATGTCGGCTCTCAGCACTCTATTTCCATGTAGTACTGGATGTTCTAAACAGTGCAATAAGGCAAAAAGAGGAAATTGGCATAGAGATCAGAAAGAAATAAAACTGAACCTATTTGCAGATAAATTATTGTCTACATAGAAATTCCCAAGGAATCTATCAAAAACTTCTAAAACTAATAAGTGAGGTCACAAGATAGGAGATCAACATGTAAAAAGCAACTGTATTTCTATATACTAGTGTGAACATGCGACACCAAGATTAAAAAAAAATAGCACTATAAAATTGTACTAATGTATACTATTAGTCTGCCACCTATTTCATTTTCTAGGACTGTGTGTGAGAATTTTTTTAAAGATTTTATTTATTATTTATTTGAGAGAGAGAGAGAGGGAGAGGGAGAAGCAGACTCCCCACTGAGCAAGGAGCCCAACATGGGACTGAATCCTAGGACCCTGAGATCATGACCTGAGCCAAAGGCAGACACTTAACTGACTGAGCTACCCAGGCGCCCTTTGTGTGAGATTTTAATAAAATATTTCTACCACCACCAAAAAAAAAAAAAAAATAGCATTAAAAATCACTTGAGGGGCACCTGGATGGATCGGTTAAGCATCCGATTCTTGATTTCAGCTCAGGTCTGATCTCAGGGTGATGAGATCAAGCCCCCACCATCAGGCTTGGTGCTCAGTGGTGAGCCTGCTTGAGAATCTCTCTCCCTCTCCCTCTGCCCCTCCCCCCGACTTGCTCCCTCTTTCTCTGGAAAAAATAATAATAATAATAATAATAAAGTCACTTAAAAAAGGGAAATACTTCAGTATAAATCTAACAAAACATGAACCTGAATTGAATGTTGAAAATGATAAAATGCTGATGAAAGAAATCAAAGCTCTAAATGCATACTGTGTTCACTCATTGCAAGACCCAACAAAGATGCAGATTCTCCCCAAACTAATATAAAAGTTTAACACAATTTCTATCAAAATTTCAACAAGATTTTTTTGTATATACAAAAAATTATTTTGAAATATAGAAAGACAAAGGAAATCAAATAGCTGAAACAATTCTGAGAAAGAATAAAATAGGAGGAATTAGTTGACCTGACTTCAAAACTCAATGGCCTCCATAATCAAGACTACAGTATTGGTGGGGAGCTAGACAAACTGATCAGCAGAACAGAACATCCAGAAACAGATCCACACAAATATGCCCAAGTGGTTTTTGACAAAGATCAAAAGCAATTCAATGGGAGAAAGACAGCTTTTGCAACAAATGGTGCCAGGGCAATTAGACGTTCACAGGAGGGAAAAACAGACCTTGACCTAAGTCTCGCTCCTTATAGACAAATTAAGCCCAAATCGATTTCAGACTTTAATGTAAAACTCTAAAACTTTCAGAAATAAATAGGAGAGAATCTTTGGGACCTAGGGCTAGGCAAAGAGTTCTTAGACTTTGAAACTAAAGCAAATCCAAAAAAAAGAAAACCAAAAAAAGAAAAACACCTTATAAATTGGACCTCAACAAAAATAAAACCTTCAGCTCTGTGAAAGACCATGTTGAGGGAATGAAAAAACAAGCTACACAATGGAAGAAAATATTTGCAAAGCACCTGTCTGACACAGGACTAGTGCCTAGACTATACAGAGGACGCTTAAACCTCAAAAGCAAAAAATCCTATTCAAACATGGGCAAAAGACATGAAGAGATATTTTACCAAAGATGACATTCAGTTGGCATATAAACAGAAGAGAAGATGCACTTGTTACATGAACTATCATAAGCCGTCTCGAACCAGATACACACACACAAATTAACTCCATGGGGTTAGAGATCTACAGGTTTATATCCTCTCCCCTTCAAGCCCACAGAACCTCTGTCTATGTTGTAGGAACAAAAGGTATCAAATATGTCTTTAGTTATTTCTCTATTTCATGTTAATGAGAAAAAAATAGAATCATATGATAAAAAGAAATTCAAACCGGCATCTCCTTCAACCTCCTTTTTCTTCACCCGCTTAATCCTCTTCTTTAGGACCTTCAAGAGGAAATTAGCAAATTTATTGTTTTCTCCAACGGCTGCTTGGAAACCAGCATAGAGTGCTTTTTCTTGGTCCTGGAGCTTGGCAATTTCATTCTTTTTCTCTTCCATCTCTTTAAGAGTTTCATTTATTTTCCACTAAATGAACAAAAACAGGAACAAGTGAAAGTATTTCTGATAAACCAGGTTCAGAGAACAATATATATTACAATGTAAGGTTACAGTTCACAAACATTTTTTTAACCTTCTTCATAGAAGTTTACATTTCTGATGGTTGGAGAGCCATCCATTTATTTAGTTAAAATTTTATAATTCTTTTGTAAAAATCAGTTAAGTCCAGAATTGGATAAGATCAGCTTTTTATGTTTAGCTTCCTCAAAAAGTCTAAAGTAAGTGAAATTTTTACCGTCAGCTAATATTTTTGCATGTGTGGTCTCAAAAACAAAAGATGTTTTTTGTATGAATACATGACAACTAAAACAAACAGACACTGCATCTCTTAGTGCAGCAGATATACCTTAAAAATGGTGTTACTATTCAGTAATATCTATTTGATGGAATCCTTCTTCCTTTGAGACGAAAGTTGGATGGTATCATTTATCTCTTTAAATTTAACATACATATAACAAAGAAACTTACTTTCCTAAGATACTCAATTACATATTACCATGAAACTAGCTATCATATTTAAAAAACTAGTCAACTTCTTTTCCAAGTATGTTCATAAGGATAACATATAATCAAAACTCAACTTTATATGATAGCTAGTGACAATAAAAATAGACTTTGAAATTTGTGAACTAAATAGAAGGCTCACTTTTGAAAACTTATCCTCCTACCATACAAAACATCCGATCAAATTCACTGTAAAGTCTGATTCATTTCTCTCTCTCTCTCTCAAGAATACCAACAGCAGAACAAGCAGGAACAAGGGGGGTTGGGGGTGGGGGAGGAGGAGGGACAAAAGAGAGGAGGGCTAGAACGATGGGGGAAATTAAGTTTGAGAAGATGAAGAAGGAAACAAAGAATCAAGTCCCCTTCACAACTAAAGGATACAGCCAGCCAGCATTCTCCTGCCCGCTCCTACCTGCATATCCTGTTCTTCTTTGTCTAATGAATTAACACGCTCTTGAAGTATGTTCTCCTGTTTTTCAAAATTCTTGAGGAGAAGCATTTCTTGAAATAATGTGACATGGTGAAGGTCAGATAATTTCATCTGAGTATCTAGTTTCAGTTTCTGATGCCTCAGGAGATGGAGTTCTGCATCAAAAGTGACAATCAGTTCTTTGATCTGAGGTGGAAAAAGATTTGAGGGTGTGTGAGGAGTTAAGAACAGGTAAGTGTACTTTTAAAACTGTTGAACAATACTAATTTGTTTAGGTAGAAGCATTTTCTCATTATACCGTTGTTATGGAGTAAGAATTATATGGGCTCATGTGCATGGGTATGTGTAGTCCTATAAATCAATTTAGCAATATCATAAAATTTATATAAATTTATTAAGTGGTAGGGATTCTGTAACTATAGTCCTTCCAGCTATTTCTTTACCATGATTAAGCCATTAATCAAGAATGCCCTTCTTGCTGTACTATGTGGTTGAAATCAGAGACTAGGAGGTCCTTGTGTTTCTATCTGCCTCCACTTTACCCCACAGCATGTCTACATTGTCTTTAATACAGGAAGCACTACATATTCCCTTCAACATGTTTTGAGAATTTTCAAACATTTCCAAAGGTGATTTAAGTTGTGACAGAGCTGGGATAAGAACGACATATCCCAAGTCCTGGTCTAGACCTTCTCCCACTGCCATCCCAAGGACTTTAAAGGCGCCATTCTGCTCTGATTTTGGCACAGCTTCTCCCTCACCCCATCCCAAAGGCAAGGAAGAGATCCAGAGAGAGTCCCAGGGGCTGGTTCTCCTGAGAAAACTAGAACAATAGGTAGAAGACAAACCATTCCATGTTTTTTCTAGGCTGTGCATGATGGAGAGTCTCAACAGTCAAGAACCTGTAATGAGGGAGGGCCTAGCCCATGGCTGAGGAGAAGGAAGAGATCTCTGGGTTTAGGACAGTGAAGAAGAAGAAAAAGAAAAAAAACTTTTACTTATATATGGTTGTAGACTAAGTGGGCTCTTCTTTAATGTTTGTTCAACAAGTCTGAACTATTTTTAAATTTCTTTTGAGGCTGGACTATATTTTTTCAGTGTAACACCATTCCGAAACATAGGTGTTTTAATTTTGTAAGGTTCATGCTTGTTTTGCTCTCACTCACCCGAGAGCCTATAAGCTTTATGAGGGTAGAGAATATGTCTGGCTTGAGTATTACTGCATCTCTGCTATCTAACTAGCACTGTTCCTGCACAAAGAATGTCCAATAAATGTGTTAAGTTGATACGATAAATAAATTAGTTACTATTAAACCAAACTTTTTTACTGGGTATCTACTATATGTCTGGCATTTTCTAGACACTGCAGGGGAATCAAAAGATGATTATATGTGGCCCTTCTCTCAAGAACTGTGTAATCTAATTTGCAAGACAAAACTAACACATATGAGCATTGAGTGATGTATAGAACTGCTAAATTGTTATACTGTACACCAAAAATGACTATAACACTGTATGTTAGTTATACTTCAATTAAAAAAAAAACTAACACACATAAAACAGTAAGAAAGATAAGTGGAAAACATGAGGTGCTGTTTATAGGTGCAATCAGAGTTTAGACAAAAGAAGAGTATGTAATGTGGACAGAAGATTCTGGAGAAGGTTTGGAATTGGACTAAGTTTTGCATGATGACTCACATTTGAAAGGAAATCGTTGCAGGTGGGAGGAAATAGCAAAGGAATAAGCAAATACAAAATTCAGAATGGGGGTGGGAAACAGGAGCGGGGAGAAGGAGGAAGAGTGAGAAAGCAAGGCTGGACAAAGCAGAGATGATGAGTGAAGAATACGTTTGGGGAGCTATAGGGGGTGCCTTCACAGGGTGGACCCAGACAGACACTGAGGAAGGGAACTCTACATGGTTGGCAGCCAGGAGCCACCTAGCCAGCAAAGGTCCTTTTCCTTATGGATTCAGAGGACCTCCTGTACCACTGGCCCCAACATGGTCTGGCTTCCTAGAAATAAAAACAGGTGCCGTTCCAGCTCCAGAACAATTTTGAAGGCAGTCATCACCATGAACACTCCCACCAATGAGGCAAATCACACGTTAGAGAAAGAGGAGGATGTAAAAACCAGAGGTGCCCCATTTTCTCTGAAAGGTTTTTAAATTATGTTCCATGCATCATCTGGAAGCTGCTCCATCATTTCCCCTTTACCAAGACTTCAGTTCGATGCCAATTGACATGGATTTGTCCTTAATTCTTAGCTTTTCCCAAAGCAAAACATTTAAAAGCTCTAAAGTTCTTGGGCAGAGCACAATAATTATCAGAAGGCCATGTATGGGGAGGAAGCTAAGCCTTCAGTGAGTTGTGGGCTGGTCAGGGCTTGGGAAAGATTACTGTAGAGAAAATTTAAATCAATAAATAAGAAAGGAGATCTAGTTCTTCCCTGCTGTCCTCTTTCAGCTTGAAAAAGGCAGTGTCACCCCTTACCCTGTTGGTTAAATACTGTTGCATGTACAAGTGTTTAATCTCGTCCCTTTTCATAATCTCCAGCTCTATATCAATTGGATCTGCTTTTTCAAATTCCAGTAACTTTGCAGTATCTACACAGAATGCTGATGCCTTTGATGATCTAGACAATGAATCTCTTGTCGTCAAATCACTGTTCTTTCTAGAAGAGAGTCTGAGGAATCCTCCACTTGAGCCTGTAGACCCTCCCTGTTCCAGCTGGGAGGACGTTTCACCCTGAATCTTCATCTGCTGTCGCTTAAAATTTAGGAGAGTTTCCTCATCATACTGAAATCTCTTTTCTGGAACTTCTTCTGGGTGTATCTGGGGGACTTGGGGAATAGGAATGTGCTTGGATATGTGAAGAATTGACTGGATGCTCTTCAGTTCTTGAACCAGGCACTGTATTTCCTCAATGATGGCCACTTTAAGGTCTCGAAGAGAGAGGATACATTTGTTCATGTTCTTTTTCTTTGAATGGGCCTGATAAAAAGAAGGAAACAAAATGATGCAAACAAAATTTGCATCTCTCTCTTGTTCCTTCTCCATTTATCTAAGCCAAACGATGCCCCCCTGCCTCAAGCCACAGGAGCCAGAGTGGCCCACTGCTCCCTCATTACCAGCTGTTTCCAAAATGCTCTTACCAGAGCCTATAGGCACATACAGCCCTAATCCTGTGTACAATTAGACAACGAGGTGGCCCAAAGGCTATTAAGAGTTACTTTGCATAAATATACAGGTTTAAAAAAAAAGGATCAAAGGCACTTCTCCAAATTGACAGTAATACTATAGTAGTAGGGAATTTTAACATCCTGCTTACATCAATGGATACATCACCCAAACAGAAAATCAACACAGAAACAGTGGCTTTGAATGACACATTAGACCAGATGGACCTAACAGATATATATAAAATATTCCATCCAAAAAGGGAATACACATTCTTTTCAAGTGCACATGGAATATTCTCCAGGATGGATCACATGTTAGGCCACAAAACAAGTCTCAATAATTCAAAAAGATGGAAATCATATCACGCATCTTTTTTGACCACAATGGTATGAAAGTAAAAGTCAATTGCAAGGAAAGAACACAAAAATACATGGAGGTTAAATAACATGCTACTCAATAATGAATGGGTCAACTGAAAAATCAAAGAGGTAGTAAAAAAAAAAAAATGAAAATGAAAAAACAGTCCAAAATCTTTGGAATGCAGCAAAAGCAGTTCTAAGAAGGAAGTTTGTAGTGATACAGGCCTACTCAAGAAACAAGAAAAAGCTCAAATAAACAACCTAATTTTACACCTAAAGGAGCTAGAAAAAGAACCAAAAAAAAAAGCCCAAAGCTAGTAGAAGGAATGAAATAATAAAGATTAGAGCAGAAATAAATGAAATAGAAACAAATAAATAAAAAATAAACAAATAAAAGATCAATGAAACAAGGAGCTGTTTTTTAAAAGATAAAATTGATAAACCTTTAGCTAGACTCATCAAGAAAAAAGGAGATGACAAATAAAATCAGAAATGAAGGAGGAGAGATGACAACTGGCTCCACAGAAATACAAAAAGATTATAAGACATTATTATGGAAAATTATATTCCAACAAATTGGGCAACCTAGAAGAAATTAATAAATTCCTAGAAGCATATAACCTTCTAAAGCTGAATAAGGAATAGAAATATAGAGGTTTACACAACCAGCAAAGTTTACATGGCTATTAAGTGGCAGAGATGGGAACAGAATTCTTCTCTGACTTGTAGAATAGTGTGCTCTACATTATTTTATGCTGTTTTAATAAGATGGATTTCAGTGTAATGTAGTTCAAGACATCATACCTGTCCATCATCTCTAGCTAGATTATGAAATTTCAGATTGGATGACTGGAAAATTGTAGTCAAAAAAGCGTTTCTCTATGATGATGGATGGAACATGAGAAATGAAACAAGAATTACCTTAGATGAACAGCTAGAAAAACAATCTAAATGGTCACTAAGAAAATGTTCGAAATGTCTGCTTAAACAGAAAGGCATAGCTATGAAAATTTACATATGGATATGATCTGCATAATAGGGTCCTTTGTAGGTGTGTCCTGCATCTTTGGTGAAATTGAAAAAGACTCTTTCTTTCCTCGAGATACTTTACTTCCATTTGCCAGAAAAATATAAAATATTCTAATATATTATATCTGTGATATGATTGGCACTCTTTTCAACATGATGTCTTGTAATGTGCAAACTACATGGCCATAGTAGGTGACCATGTACCCAATTCTCAAAATGGTACCTCAGATACCCTCTGAGTCTCTATGTGTGAAAAGTCACTTGTCCGTCAAATTAAGGAATTACTATGACAGGGAGGGGAGACTTTAGTAAGAAAATGGGGATGAGAAATCAGGATAATTGGAAGCAGTTTGGCAGAATGCAGATAAAATTTTTAAAAAGGAATATGTTATTGGTTATCATTGAGACACCTACAAAATTTTTAAGTCCTAAAAAAAAAAAAGGCTAAACAATGGCTGGCCTTTTCCCTAAGTCTTTGGCAATCCACAGCAGCCAAAAACTATATCCAACAAGGACATGTTTGAATTTCAGAAATTCAAAGTCTATAAAATATAGCCATGAGCTTATCATGAGTTCAGTTTCACCCATGAAATGTATTTAGCCAAGTAATTAACTTGAAGGCTGGTTCTGCCATATTAGCTACATAATCACAGACAAATCTCTTGTCCTCTATGGGCCTCAGTTTCCTCATTTGTAAAACAGAGGCATTCTAAATAATCATAAAGATATTTTCCACTTCTAAATTTCTATAACTATATGTCCTTATAGACCATCTAGTGAAATGTGTGATTTCAGCAGAATTCCATTAAAAACTCAGGGTGCCTCTCATTGTCATGAAAGCTGTAGGTAAATACCATGGAGTCTAGGTGTCCCAGTTCCTCTTCCTTCTTGGCAGCATTTACTCTCATGTGCTCAGGTATCTTATAGTCTGAGGCTGTCTTCAGATTGAAGTCTCCCATATACAACTGGGCCTCCTTGATGGCTTGAACATCTTTGGGATCTTCAAAGTCATCCTGAGGTTTACTCTTATACCTGTCAGAAAAATAGACAACCCAGCCACAAATGTAACAATAAACTTTAGTTTGTCTACTATATGTATATAATCAAATTCAGTCATAAAGCAAAAGTAGAATTCTGAATCTGTAGTACTACTTTTATCTGTAGAGCCCAAGCATTTTTTTTTAAGTTAATGACTACAGACCTTCCTCAACTTATAATGGGGTCATGTACCAATAAACCCATAGTTGAAAATATTATAAATCACATACTTTCAGTACACCTAACTTACTTAACATTATAGTTTAGCCTAGCCCACCTTAAACATACTCAGAACACTTATGTTAGCCTATAGTTGGGAAAAACTAATTCAAAGCCCATTTCACGAAAAGTGTTGAATATCCATGTAATTTACTGACTACTGTACTGAAAGTAAAAAAAACAGAATGGTTGTAAGTGTATTGATAGTTTATCCCCAACACCATGTAGCTGACTTGGAGCTGTGGTTCACTGCTTCTGCCCAGTATCATGAGAAGGTATCATACTGCATATATCACTAGCCTGGGAAAAGATCAAAATTCAAAGTGCAGTTTCTACTGAATGAATATCACTTTCACACTATTGTAAAACCAAAAAAATCAAGTCAAACCATCTTAAGTCGGGGACCATCTGTATTTTTACAGCACCTCAAGCAAAGTCATAATGAAATAAATAAAACCCAGTTACCAGATGGTGCTGAAATAATCTGAATCATTTTTAGGCTTTCGTTCATTTCTAAGTGATTTATATCAAGATGGTTATTTATTCCTTCAACAGATATTAAGCCATAGAGACAGAGTAGGTGTATTTTAATCAGTAGAAACTTATTTTACCTTTTTTTTAATAATGTAAGTGATTGTCATAAAATTTTCAAAAAAAGGCATCTAGTTAAAAATGATAATAATGAGCATATGTATTTGCCTCCTGCTCTCTCCCCAAATTCCATGGAAATGATGGTGTGGAGGTATTAAAGGGAATAAATCGGGAAGGCTGAGAATAAGATAGAAAGCCATGAGCAAACCAGTGATAGCAATTTTAAAGGATAAATCAGAGTAGAGAAACTGTGGCCCAGAATATCTCCAGGGAAGGCTATAGAAAAGATTGAATATGATGTTATCAGTAGAGGTCCTAGGGGGCTCTAAGCACAGATACCAAAAGACCCAACTACCTAATTCTGTAAAGTGAAGCCTGTCAGTCAACATGAACATGTACACAGAGCTTGCAGTCAGTCCTTTAGGACTGATATTAGAAAATATTTTGGACAGGGGCTCCTGGGTGGTGAAGTTGGGTAAGCATCTGCCTTCGGCTCAAGTCATGATCCCAGGGTCCTGGGATCGAGCCCCATGTCAGGCTCCCTGCTCAGTGGGAAGCCTGCTTCTCCTTCTCCCCCTGGCTTGTGCTCTTTCTCTCTCTCTCTTACTTGCTCTTGCTCATTCCCTTTCTCTCTAAAATAAAAAAAATCTTTAAAAAATCTATTTTGGACAAAATGATGCTGAAAATATATCAGAACTTGTGAAAAGAAGCTCAGTGTTTCATTTACACTTTATACTTCAGTTTATACTTTAAATGCTTATAATTAAAAAAGAAGTATAAAATCAAAGCTTACAGCTTAAACTTAAAACAAACAGCAAAAAAAGAATTAACTAAACCCAAATTAATAAGAATAAAGGAAATGATAGAGAACAGAAATATCAATGATATAGAAAGCTGACAAGCAATATTTCTAAAAATCTATGACCAAAAGTTAGTTCCTTGAAAAGATCAATAAAATTGGTAAGTCTTTTGCTGGAATGATCGAGAAAAATAGAAAAGATACAAATTAATGATATCAAAAATAAAACAAGGGACAATGCAACAGATACCACAGAAATTTAAGTAATAAGGCAATAGTATGAACTATTTTATGCCAATAAATTTGATAACCAGATAAAATGCACAAATTCCTTGAAAGATATAAATTACCAAAACTGATCCAAGAGGAAATATAGAATCTGAATAACACTATAACTATGAAAAATTGGAATTTGTATTTATAACCTCTCAATATTCCATGTCCATTTGGCTCATTGATAAATTCTATCAAATATTTAAGAAATAAATAATATGAAGCCTCCACAATCTTTCAGAAAATAGAAGAGAAAGGAAAACTTATCTCATTTTATGCAACTAGTCTTACCCTGATAACAAACCAGAAAAGATATTACATAACAATAAAACTAGAGACCAATAGTCTTTATTTAAAAAGACACAAAAATCCATAACAAAATGCCAGCAAATCAAATCCAGCAATATATATTTTTGGAAAATACCAAAAGCCTATTTTTCCAGTTTATTGAGTTATGATTGCATGTAATATTGTATCAGTTTAGGGTGTACAACAGAATGATTTCATACATGTATCTATTGCAAAATGTTTGCCACAATAAGTTTAGTTAACATCCATCCACATAGTTGTAATTTTTTTTCTTGTGATGAGAATTTTTAAGAGCTACCCTCTTAGCAACTTTCAAATACACACTAGTCATATTGTATATTACCTCTCTAGAACTTATTTATCTTATAAATAGAAGTTGGTACCATTTGTCCACCCTCCTCCCAACTCCCCACCTCTAGCAATCATCAGTATGTTCTGTTTCAATGAGTTCAGAGTTTTTAGATTCCACATATAAGGAAAAATCATATAGTATTTGTTCTTCTCTGACTTATTTTACTTAGTATAATGCCCTCAAAGTCCACTGGTATTGTTGCAAATGGCAGAATTTCTCTTTTTTAAGGCTGAAAAATATTCCAGTGTATGAATGTATCATAACTTCTTTATCCATTCGACCGTTAATGGAGACTTAGGTTGTTTCCATGTCTCAACGATTGTTATTAGTCCTGCAATAAACACGGGAGTGCAGACATCTCTTCAAAGACCATTTTAGTTTTCTCTGTCTATATACCCAGAAGTGGGATTGCTGGACCATATGGTAATCTTATTTTTAAATTTTTGAGGAACCTCCATACTGTTTTCCATAGTGGCTGCACCAGTTTATGTTCCCATCAATAGTGCAGAAAGTTTCCTTTTTCCCCACATTTTGCCAATAGTTGTTATCTCTTGTCTTTTTTTTTTTTAAAGATTTTTATTTATTTGACAGAGAGAGCACAAGCAGAGGGAGAGAGAGGGAGAAGCAGGCTCCCTGCTGAGCAAGGAGCCTAATGTGGGACTAGATCCCAGGACCCTGGGATCATGACCCAGGCCGAAGGCAGCCACTTAACCGACGGAACCACCTAGGCGTCCCTCTTGTCCTTTTGATGACAGGTATTCTAACAGGTGTGAGCTGATCTCATTGTAGTTTTGATTTGCACTTCCCTGATTAGTGACGTTCAGCACTGTTTTCATGTACTTAATGGCCTTTTGTAGGTCTCCTTTGAAAAATGTCTATATACATCCTCCATCCACTTTTAAATCTGTTTGGTTTTTTGTTAAGTTGTAAAAGTTCTTTATATATTTTGGATATTAACCCCTTATCAGATATATGACTGTGAATACATTCCCTAAGTTGCCCTTTCATTTTTTTGATAGTTGTCTTTACTGTACATAAGCTTTTTAGTTTGCTATAGTCCCACTTGTTTATTTTTGTTTTTGTTGCCTTTGCTTTTGGTGTCAAAAATGTGTGTAAAAAATCATTGCCAAGACCAATGTTGAGGGACTTACCACCTATGTTTTCTTCTAGGAGTTTTATGGGTTCAAGTCTTACATTCAAGTCTTTAATTAATTTTGCATTAATTTTCATATATGGTGTGAGATACTGGTCCAGTGTCATTCCTTTGCATGTGGCAGTTTAGTTTTCCCAACACCATTTATTGGAGAGACTGTCCTTTCCCCAATATATAGTCTTGGCTCCTTTGTCATAAATTGACCATATATGCATGGACCATTTATTTCTGATCTATTCTATTTCATTAATTGGGTCTCTGTTTTTAATGCCAGTGCCATATTGTTTTCATTGCTACAGCTTTGTAACATAGTTTGAAGTCAGGGAGTATATTTTTATATTTATTTTTATTTATTTTTCCTTCTCAAGATGGCTTTGGCTATTCAGGATCTTTTATGGTTCCATGCAATTTTTAGGATTGCTTTTACTATTTCTGTGGGATTTTGATAGGGACTGCATTGAGTCTATAGATTCCTTTGGATAGTACAGACATTTTGACAATATTTTTTCTAACCCATGCATGAAATGTCTATTTATTTTTGTCTTCAATTTCCTTCATTAATGTCTTATTGTTTCCACTGTACAGATATTTCATATCCTTGGTTAAATTTATTCTGAAGTATTTTATTCCTTTTGATGCAATTATAATGGGATTGGTTTTCCTAATTTCTCTGATAGTTTATTGTTAATATATAAAAACAACTGATTTTTGTATATTTATTGTATCTTGCCCTTTACTGAATTCATTTATTAGTTCTAATGGTATTTTGACAGTCTTTAGGATTTTCTATATATAATATGTCATCTGCAAATAGACAGATGTACTTCCTTCCCAATCTGGATTCTTTTTTTTCCTTGCCTAACTGTTCTAGCTAAGACTTCTACTACTATGTTGACAAGTAGCAAGAGTGAACATCCTTGTTCCTGATTTCAGAGGGAAAGCTTTCATTTTTTCATCATTGAGAATGATGTTAGCTGTCAACTTGTCATATGTGGCCTTTATTATGTTGAGGTATGTTCCTACTATATCCACTTTGGTGAGAATTTTTGTCATGAGTAGATGTTGAATTTTATCAAATGATTTTCTTGCATTTCTTGAGATGATCATGTGATTTTTGATGGCTTGCACAATCACAAAGGTCTGAAAGACAACTGAGTTCAGGCCAAGATGATATAGTTTAAGATGGCAACATAGGAAGACCTTGAACTCCTCTCTTCCACAGACACACTAAATCTACACCTATTTATAAAGCAATTTCTTCCAAAGAATAACTGAGGGCTGACTTAACAGCTTCAAAA